CACGGTGCCCAGGCACGCAGCGACTCCAAGTAAGCGTCTCTTCCTCCCACACTGAAATGTTTTCTCCAATTGCTGCTAAGCAGGAGGAGGGGGGAGAGGCCTCCCTCACCACAGGGCTCTTTCTGTGAGTGTTTTATCGCGCCTGCCAGGCTTTAGGAGTTTAATGTGTTAGACCTGTCCAGAAAAAGCAGTTTGGAGCTGTACCCCGAGTGCAGGGGCCAGCAGCTCGGCATGTGGCTTACGGTCTGTGACACGTTGTGCTTCCGTGTCTGCTGTCCCCACACTGGGAGGGAAAAGGGAAATAGAAATAACACCGAGGAGGTGGATTACTGGAAAGTTGTAAGGAAAAAACACAAAAACCTAATTTTTTTCCACTTTTGTGAAAGAGAACCCAGTGATTACCTGTGCTTGCAGCATCTGCAGCTCTGCCCTTACCTGTGCAAGCACGCGTGTTTGGGAACAAACTGTTAATGCGCAACAAAACTTAATAACCCGGGGTCAGTGGGGCTATGTGAGGGAAGTTAAATGTTCCTGGTGATTCTGAGTCTGGTCCCCTGATCCAGCTTTTTGTCCTCATTTAGACAGGAGGAGTTTGTGGATCTGTACAAGGAGTTTGAGCCCAGCCTTGTGAACAGCACCGTCTACATCATGTCGATGGCAATGCAGATGGCCACCTTTGCTATCAACTACAAGGCAAGCCAGGTTTAAATCACATCTCCGGCAGCACCAGGGAAGCAATTTTGTAATTCGGATGCAATAATACAAACCAAGATGTTCTTCTCTAATCACAATCGAGTCCAGCCTCACCCCTGCTCACACTTTCTCCGTGTTGTGTTTCAGGGCCATCCTTTTATGAGAGTCTACGGGAGAACAAGCCTTTACTGTGGAGCATCGTCCTTTCAGGACTCGCCATCGTGGGCCTTCTCACGGGCTCCTCGCCAGAATTCAATGAACAGTTTGGCTTGGTAGAAATCCCTGCTGAGGTGAGCAGGCGGCGTTTCTCTGCGCCTGCTGAATTTTACGTGCGGGGAGGACAGGTCTGAGCCTCTCCTCGAGCTCTGGAGGAATCTTAAGGTTTTTAGCAGAATGTTGGGCAGGACAGATTGCCCAGAGCAGCTGTGGCTGCCCCCTCCCTGGAAGGGTTCAAGGCCAGGTTGGACGGGGCTGGGAGCCCCCTGGGCTGGGGGAAGGGGGCCCTGCCCGGGACAGGGGGGTGGAGTTCGATGATCTTTAAGGTCCCTCCAACCCAAACCCTCCTGTGACACTCAGACAGCACCGCAGAGGAGCGCTACCTACCTAAACAGCTTTAAGGGAGAGGACGTGGTAGCAATCCTGCGGCAACACTGGCGTGTCGGGACAGGCTGGGGGGTGCAGGGGTTGAGAGCAGCCCCACGGAGAAGGACTGGGGGGAACTGGAGGGTGAAAAGCTGGACATGAGCCAGCAACGTGCGCCCTCAGCCCAGAAAGCCACCCGTGCCCTGGGCTGCAGCGAGAGAAGTGCAGCCAGCGGGTCGAGGGAGGGGATTCTCCTGCTCTGGGGAGCCCCCCCTGCAGTGCTGGGGCCAGCTCGGGGGCCCCCAACATCAGAAGGACCGGAGCTGCTCGAGCGGGGCCAGAGGAGGCCACGGAGATGCTGGGGGGGCTGGAGCAGCTCCCCTGGGGGGCCGGGCTGAGAGAGTTGGGGGGGTTCAGCCTGGAGAAGAGAAGGCTCCGGGGAGCCCTTCGAGCGGCCTCCCAGGGCTTAAAGGGGGGGCAGGAGAGGTGGGGGGGACTCTGGATCAGGGGGTGGGGGTAGGACAGGGGGTGATGGTTTTGAACTGAAAGAGGGCAGATTTAGGTGAGATAAAAGAAATTCTCTACTGTGCAGGCGGTGAGGGCTGGCCCAGGCTCCCCAGACTTGGGGGGCGATTCCCTGTCCCTGGGGACGTTCAGGGTCAGGATGGATGGGGCTCTGAGCACCCTGGTTGTGGTGAAGCCGTCCCTGCCTGGGGGGTGTTAGACTGGATGAGCTTTGCGGCCCCTCCAACCCAAACCAGCCCGAGATGCCACAGTTTTTCTTACCATTTAGCAATTGTTGCAGCACGGCGTGAAGGGAAGTTCAAGGTCTGGTTCTGAGGGGACAGAGTGACTGCGAGGGACTAAGGGGTTGTGTTTGCTTCCCTAGTTCAAGATGGTGATCACGGAGGTGTTGCTGGCTGACTTCTTCCTCGCCTTGTTAGTGGATCGAATTCTTCAGTTTCTGCTGGGGAGCGCAAAACTTAAAGTGCCTTCCTGAACCGGCTTCCGAGGTCCTCGCCCCCCGCGGCGCGACACCACGGCCAGCACCCAGGGCCACCTTTCGCCCTCGCAAGAATCCTCCCGACTTCTTCTGACAATAACTCTGGTCCTGTTCAGAAACAGGCGTGGGGAAGCTTTCTTCGAAATCATGTGGAAAATCACCTCGTGAACCAAGGCCTGACTTTTTACTGGTGCCGGGACGTACCACCAACTGGCGGGAGTTTTGTACTGCCCTAACGTTTAAGGAAACGTTTACAGAATTTGGTAACTAAAATCAGAATCGCTGTATTTTGAAACATGTTTGGAACTTCCTTTGTGAGGCTGACAACTTTGTGATGTTTTTAATACACGGAGTAAAAACAGCAACAACCTAAAGGTGAGGCCAAGGGGTAGGAGTCCCTACACACCAGAAATGGGAAGTTACGTTCAGAATAGAAAGTTGTAAGGCTGACAGTGCGTAGGAGAACCACCCCTGCCAACCCTGAAGCCCTATTTCACACTCATTAGCGCAATAAGTTGGCAGGTGAGAAGAGAAACGTGTTTATTTTTCTCCCGAAGCAATTCCCGTGATCGGATATCGATTGCATTTCTTCAGGTACCCGGAAATTTAATCAGAGAGAGCGAGAGGAGCTTGGCCCCGGTGCAGTTTACATCCTTGAGGTAGACTCCAGCGCTAACAAACGCTGGGTGGGAGCCTGGCAGCAGCCGTCCTTTCGACTACAAAAGCATAATTGTACTGAAAAACACCAAAAAAAAAAAAAAAAAAAAAACAAACCAAAAAAAGCAGTCAGGACCCTGACAGATTCTGAATGTGGCTGCTGCCCACCCCAGACGCGGTGCACGACCAAAGCAGCCTGCTTACCTCTTCCTCAATATCAGCGAGTGACTTAACATTCAGGTTTGCAAGGATAGCCTAAAAAAAACGTAAAATATTTCTAATTAAGACTAGGTATGAGGTAGGGCTGAGAAGAGCAGCTTAAAGGAAGACTCACGTTACTGCCAGAAGTGAGCTTGCTTTGGAATTTGGGGTGTAGTGTGAAGGCACTCCATCCATAGCTGGGGAGAGAGGGAGAGAGGCTGAAAACGCACAGTTACGTAATTTCTACATCAAGCAGATGAAGAGTTTGAGCAAGATGTCAGTGCTGGCTTAATTCAAGCGAGGAATGTGGGAAGGGAGAAGTTTTTAAGAAAAACCTTCCACTAAAAATGTAGCTCAAGTCCAGTCTTTAAAGCTAACAACTGCGCGGAAACAGTTGCGCAGGATCCAAAGCAGCTGCTTTTTATTTCCAAGTAGCCCTTAAGGAGGGCTCCGCCTGCTTTATGCAGCTGCCTCCTTTGAGGTGAGATGAAGAAACAATTTACCCGAGAGGCCGTAGATGCTGGAGGTGTCGTACAGAGATTCGTGCTGAGAAACTCGTTTGATGCTGCTTCGAGCCGCGGGTGACCTGTAAAATCACAGTAATTAACGGCAGGTAACGAGCTCCAGAGCAGGGGAACGGAAACCACGAGGTGGCAGCAGCACTCGCAGGGTTTATTCCCGGTTCAGGTAAGACTGGGGGAAAAAAAAAAAAAAAATCCTAAATTATTGCGTACATACTTGTGGTCTGAGTCAGGGGGCTGGAGCGAGAGCTGCCGCAGGGCTGCGCTGAGCGTCCGCGGCTTGGGGATGGGTTTCTGAACCGGCCCTTTTTTACACCATATGGCAAAGTTACCAATTTCCCTAGGAAAAAAAAAAAAAAAAAAGAAAAGAAAAACCAAATCCAACCCCCCTCAGGTTTTTGGGGAGGGGGGAGCGCTCCCCTACCCTATTTTCAGGTAGTGCGGGAGGGCTTTGCTCTTGGAGCTCAGCTTGAGGGCGAAGACGGCGGTTTCGGCGGCGGCGAGCGGCAGCAGCTTCACGTACAACCGTTTCTTCCGGGAGCTGCCGGTCCCTGCGGGGGGGGGGGGAGCTGGACCGGGGAGCAGCACAACCAACCCCCCGGGGGGGAAGGTTTGGGGAGGGGGGGGCAGCACTTACGAGGCTCCGGGAATTCGGGGGCGCGGGTGTAGCCGGCGGGCTGAGGGCTCCGGTCGCTCAGCACCAGCACGTCGGTCACCACGGGCCCGGGAGGCGCCTGGATGGGACGGGGGCTCGGTGGGACGACACCCCCCAACCCACCCCGGTCCCGGGGGGTGTGTGTGTGTCCCCCCCCCGCCTCGCACCTCCGCTCCGCCGCCGCTCACACACAGGTACCCGCCGCCCTTGTGCCCGAAGCTTTTGCCCAGGTTGGCCGCCGCGCCCTCCACGGTAACGGCGATCTGCGGGCACAAGGGAGGGTCAAACCGCCGTGGAACCGGGCGGCAGCTCCCCGACCCCCCCCCCCCCCTTCCCCCGGTGCCCACCACGGTCCAGCCGGCGGGGGCAGCCCCGGGCGCGGCCGCCACGGCCACGCCGGTGAGCGGGGTCTTCTCCTCCTCCTCCGCCATTACCGCCGCGCCAGTAGCCGGAGCTCCGCTCCTTCCCCCCACCCCCCCCCGCCACCATTGGACGGCGCAAGATGAAAGTCTGCGGCGATTGGCTGGCGCGCTCCGAGCGACGCGCGCAACAGCCACTCAGAAGCGAACAAACCCTCCAGGGAGGCTTCAAACGCGGAAGCGCGGGGGGCACCGGGCCGGTACCGGAGCCGCCCCCCCCCCGCCCCGACTCCGCCTTTATTATCGCGGCCCGCACCCCCCCGCCCCGCTCAACCCTCCGGCGGCGGCAGCTTCCTCAGCGGGGCGGCGAGCAGCTTGCGCGCTGGGGAGTTCTCCAGCTGCTGGAAGGTCCTGGAGGCTGCAACAGAGGAGGAGGGGGGGGAAAAAAACCATTAATCGCCGTTAACGACCCCCGCCCCCCGAGGCTCCCCCAACCCCCCCCCCCCGAGGGTCTCCCGCTCACCGAGCTGCCGCGACAGGCGCCGGAGGTACTGCCCGCTGTCCTCGCTGAAGGCCTGCAGCAGCTTCAGGGTTTGCTGGAGCTCATCCAGCTGCAAAACTAAAGCAGTAACCACCACAAAACCAAAAACAACAACAAACGACCCCAAAAACGACCCCAAATCGCGCAATTCCCCAACTCACCACGAGCTCCAGGCACCTCAAAACCGGCCCCTGCTCGTCCAGGATCTGCTGGTAGTTGGGTTTGGTGCTGAGGACTCGGGCCTGGGATGTCTGGAGGTACGTGGGGGGCTCCGCCTGCCCCCCCTTGCTCCTGCCTTCCTCTAGCCGCCTGCAGCCCCCCCACAACAGCACCCCCTTAATTTGATTTTTTCAAACACCTAACAGCAAGAAAACGAGGGGGAGGAAAAAAGGGAGGAACAACCCCAAACCTGGCCATTTCTTCAGCTCTTTCCTGGTGGTGCAGCAAGAGCTGGTCCCAGGCCTGGCATTCAGCGGTGAACCTGCGGACCGGGAGGAACGGGGGCTGTAGGTTCAGAGCTCGGAAAAACACCAAAAATATTTCATCTCCCCCCAAAAGAGCCTCGGGGAAGGGGAAGGATGAGTGGCTCTAAGTTCAGAGCTTGGAAAAACACCAAAATGATTCAATCTCCCCCAAAAGAGCCTCAGGGAAGGGGCGGCCGTGGTGAGAGTCTCAGAGCACAACCACGTTCCATCGTACCTGGCGATGTAATCCTTAATTTGGGCCACTGATTCCTCCAAAGCCGAGTCCTGTAAAACCCTAAAGCACAGACATGGCCTCAGGACGCTATAGGGAGATCTATACGTTCCATAGGTGCCTCGCAGGTGCTCACGATCGCAAGATATGAAAGAGAAAAGTCTCCTCAATAAAGGGAACACCCCGCGGAGTTATTCACCATGCTGGTGGTCCAGGGGCACCAGCCCTGAAAAATCCTCGTAGCCCCCGGCAACGGGGTTTCTCTGCAAATTCAGGTGATTGGGCAGATTGTAAAGCAACACCAGAAAAAGAGAATGATAGACTGGTTTGGGTTGGAGGGAATTCCACCCCCCCTGCCCCGGGCAGGGCCACCTTCCCCCACCCAGCCCAGGGGGCTCCCAGCCCCGTCCAACCTGGCCTTGAACCCTTCCAGGAAGGGGGCAGCACAGCTTCTCCCTGGGCCAGCACCTCACCACCCACAGAGAATTTCTTCTTTATATCCAAGCTAAATCTCACCTCTTTCAGTTCAAAACCATCACCCTCCATCCTATCCCCACCCCCTGATCCAGAGTCCCCCCCACCTTTCCTGTCCCCCCTTTAAGCCCTGGGAGGCCACTCGAAGGTCTCCCCGAAGCCTTCTCTTCTCCAGGCTGAACATTCCAACCCAAACCCTTCTCTCATTCTGTAATATAGTGGTTTCTTTCCCTTTTAAAAGTTTCACCCCCCTAAAACCTGCTGGCAGGCCTCCCCATTAGCCTTTCCTCGCTGGTTCTGCAAGAGTTGCCTGGACGAGGGAAGCCGGCTAATTAAAATGTTTAAATGAACCGGAGTGGTTTGACCTACCAAGGTTGGGAGGGTTTCTGCTGGCAGGGCGAGGGCCTCGTAGGCGGCCAGAGATGCATTTTGTGTTCAGGCTACATCCCCCTTCTCCCCCAGAAGAGATACAGCTCCCTGCTTACACTCCACAAGGGACGAGCTCGGCGAGTTCTTACCCGTTAGGGTCTTCTACGCAGCACTTCAGCGTTCCGTCTCTTTTCAGCTTCTGCATGTATCGCTCCAGGTCTTCTGAAAGCGAGTGCACTGGAAACAAAGACAAAATAAACCAGGATAAAACACTGCTCATAATACCGAGAAACGAAGCTGCTTCCTAACCTGCAGATACTGCTCCAATTCCTTATCGGAAGGCGTTCTAGTTACCGCTTGGACTGTTTCTAAAGGAGTTGCTCGTCTCTGTGGCCAAGGTTTACTTGAGCGTGTCTGTTTGCCTCCCCTCCCAGAAACTGTGGCCACACATAGCATCTTAAAAACATCATTCCCATCATTCTGGCTGCACCCACCCCTTCTAGAAGACAGTTGGGTTCATTTGGAGGGGATGTTAGGGAAGGGTCAGTATTTTTAAATTCAGGGTTATCCTTGCTGACGGATATACCACACCTTACCGTTAGCTTTGAAAGCCTCAGGGCTAAAGCCTTCAGTCTGCTTCAAGACACGTTCCAGCTTCTGCGCAGAAAACTAAAAGAAGATGGAAAAGGTCTCAGCACCCTTTCCTGGACTGTATGAGAAAGCTTGTGGGAGGATTCATTACTGAATGAGGAGTCCTTCCTTCCCCAGCCTGTATTTCACAACTTAAACAAATCAGGACATATGTTTAGTGGCAGAAAAAGGAAAGAGAAAAATAATTCACTTTTAGAAGAGAGGATCTTACCTGGAAACTAGACAACAGCAGCATAGAAAGCCGGTCTGTCTCTGGCAGATCCAGGCTTATTGATTTGCTTAATTCTGACAAAACAGAACAAAATTATTTAAGAACAATTGCATTCACACCAAGCTACAAAGAGCTGAAATGTTCCTGAAAGACACTAAAAGCTGTTGTACAGGAGTGCAGTTTGTAGGATACGGAAGGAGCAAGGAAAGAGGAAGAAACAGAGATCCTACCAAGGAAAAATCACCCTTAAGGCTCAACCATGGAAATAAAAAGGCAGAGATAACAAACCAGTGGTCTACAGAAGCTGATAAGGCAGCATCTCCTTTTAACTTCAAGATCCCGGACCTCCGAGACCACTGCCAACACAGATATCAGTAGCTACTAGTTTGGAATAACACAATTACGCTGGAATCACCCAAAAAGTCGTGTCATGAAATTAAATCTCAACTTGCTGCAGGCTGCCTGACATGTTTCTCGAGAGAGAGCTGATAAAAGGATGAAGCGGAGCACGTACCAGTGACATCCTGGTGAACGGGAGGCAGAGATTTTCGGTGTTTTTTCCCCTTCAGGCTGGATCGACACCAGGAGCGACGCTTGGCTTGAGGGGTGCGGACGAGCAGCCTTGGGGACAAGTTAAAGGAACTCGATGCATGGTCTTTCCTGGGACTGCTTCTGCAGGGAGACAGCTTCTTGGGACTGTGCCCAAGAGGGCTTTTCCTGAGGCTGGAACTTTCGTAGGATCTTTTCCTCGTAACTGCTGAGGGACAAAGGTTCATGCTAACAGCAGTTATGTCAGGGGGCTTTAGGAATTGCTCAGGATCCACTTTTTCCTCTCCGGGGTCAGATCTGGGAGAACTAGACACAATCAACGCGTTAACAGGGTAAGAACAGAGCAAAGGGTCTCTCCCAGGGATTCAAAAGCACTGAACCTGTTCTTTGCGCTTTGCTTCCCAGCTCGGAGCGGCAGCAGCAGCGCTGAGGCGCGATGGCTGGGTGACGGCTCCGGTTCCCCCTTTCAGCACGGAGATCCTTCTCCCGGGCACGGCCGGGGGGTCCCCGCCGCGGCCGCCCCCCCCGGCCCGCCGCCCCCCTTACCTGACAGCAGCCCTCCAGCCGCAGGGCAGGCTCCGCCGCGGGAACGCTGAGGGGGATAAACGGTTACGAGTCCGGTTGCGAGGCCAACCCCCCCCCCCCCCCCCGCCGCCCCGGGCCCTCCCCGCAGCGCTCACCTCCTCCTCCTTCTCCTCCGACCCGCCGGACGGCCCCGGCGGGGAGGCGGCGGCCGCCCCGTTGTTCCCCGCCGCCCCGTTGTTCCTCCCGCCGGTCGATCCGCCATGGCGGGGCCGCAGAGGATGGCGGGAAGGCGCCCTGAGGGCGGCGCATGCGCAGAGCCCGCCGCGCCCCTCCCGCCCTTCCCTGAGGGAACCCCGGAGCCCAGGTGAGGAGAGCGGGAGACGTGAGAAAAACAAACTTTTAAAAAAAAAAAAAAAAAAAAAAAAAAAAAAAGGCTTTGGAAGTTTATTATCTTTGATAAAATCTCAACTGAAAGGGGTGGACTCTGTGGTAACAGCTGCAGAAATGCACAAAATCCTAGTATCCATGGGGAAAGTCAGGTGTTTTGTGTTGGTTTTGTTTGTGTTTTGTGTTTTTTTTTTTTTTTTCACTTAGACATTAAATTAGAATTACGTGGAATGACACAGGATGGAAGGTCCTACCCGAGAGCAAAGTCCAGTGAGAGTTTTGGTAAAGCAACGTTCTGATTAATTAGCTCAGAATGAATTCTAGTTAAGAAAAGCTTATTTTCCTATACAAAATTACAATACAGAGAACGCATACAATTACAATACAGGGGGGTTAACTGGTAGTAGCTATCAACTAGAACATAAATTTCATAGTAAAAAACTTTATGGAAATTAAAATAAGTCAATTTTCTTAAGCTGTAAAACTTGAGACAAACGCCAAGTTCTAGAAGAGACACTTTCAGATTCTTACCATAAAATCCATATTTAAAAAAATGAATTTGGTTAGGAAAATGAAGCAAGTTCTTTTAAAACAATTTCACATCCCAATGGGCATAAGTAAAAAGAATTCAACTGCGTGAGGCTGAGAGGTAGAGAGGTATCATTGTAATCACAATCGTCTATTGGTTCCAGGGTTTTTTCTGAGGTAATTAGCTGTGTGTCAAGTTGTATAAACAATAGTATTGGCAAAAGAGCAACATTGACAAATTACACTAATGACCTCTTTCCTCTCATCAATAGGTCCTAAAAACTTAATTAGACGCATCCGAATTAACACTTCCAGGGTCTCCAGCAGGTGAAGTGATTGATGAAGGGGTGGTAGCATCCTGCCAGCTGCCATTAGCCTGAAGGGAGAATAAATATATCCGTTCATCAAATGTTTAAGCAACTACTTGCAGAAAACAAAGTATGCCTTTAGATGTTTACACCTTATAAGCGACAGTGCTTTTGAAAGAAAATAACTATGTATTGGCTGTAGCAAAGCACAGTCCACAAACATGCCGTAAAACCCCTCCCGCTGCTAAGATTTTATGTTACTCTTATGCCTAGTGGCATCTCTTATGGCAAGAATTAACTGAAGGGCACAAATTTTCTGGTGAGCAAAGCCAAAATTTTAAATGAAGTCTCTGGGAGGGGAAGGCTAGTGTATCAAACTACGTCTTTTCCAGTTTCTTCCTATCCCCACATCAGCGTGTTGGGGGACTAAAAAGTCAACATTTATTCACAGATCATTAACCAATCTCGGGCAGACCTTGTGTTTCTAGGAAGCAAAACCTCAGTACATTACATCTATGCGCTGCGTCGTATACAAAGGATTCCCCACAATTGTGTCATATCTTCCTGTCTGGTGTATGACGTGATGTAAGGAATCCATCTAGAACAAGATCCCACACAATTAAAACAATTAGGATAAAAAGTCAAGTGAAAGAAATGCAGTAGTATGTGGTGTATATATATCCATTGGGCCAAAAACTCTTTAAACAAGGTTTTCTTGCAGGAAGACAAGTTTTCTTTGCAGCTTCTTGCTATTAACGGAGCTATATGTAGCTATTTTATTATCAGGCAGAATTAGAGCCTATCACCTATAGCTTTTATAAAAGAGGAACAGATTTTATGCAGTTATGTTTAGAAATTAAGCAGAAAGCTTAAAATCAGTTTGACAATGCTGTTAACCACAAATCCTAAGCAAAGTTATATGGAAAAAGCTGACTCTGAAAGGAGAAAACCTCAATTCACTAATGTAAATTTAAAGGGACTGAAGAATAGCAATAGCTTAAATTAAGTATCAGTTAATTCGTAAGAAAAAATTCCAGTTCCAAGAGAAAAATACACATTTGAGCAGGTTTGTTCCTTGACTCGTTTGAGAAATTTGGTTCTAGTTGTTTCTTGCATCCTAGCCAGTGCTGGCTGGAGACAGAAAAATCCATCCCTATCTGGTATTAAGATAAAAAAATTACTGAAAACCAGCAAAATGAAATTGTCTAATCCAGCTCTGCTGTTCGAAGCGGGGTCAACTGGAGCAAGTTAGACTTTGAATATCTCCAAGGACAGAATCTCCACAACCTCCCAGGGCAACCTTCTCATAGCGTACAAAGGACAGAGAAAAGGGATTTCAACATCTACCTCACTGCTGAAAGTGTGTCGGGTTTTTTTTCCATACTGACCTGCGACTGCACATTGGCTCCCACTGGGGAGCTCTGGTAGGAAGTCAATGACTGCAAGTTTATAAACGAATCTCCAGAATTTGTCATTTTAAAAGAGCCAGAGGAAGCTGAAAAAAAAAAAAAAAAGAATGTTTTAATGGAAAATAAAACCCACCAAAGATGGTTCTTCGTTAGCATTACATTATTTAAGTTTAAAAGAAACCCTACGCCGTTTCAAACACCAGTAGTCCACTGTACTAATTGTCACAAGAAATAATTAGAGGCTTTCAAGCAAACGGACTCTTCACCGACACTCGCACTCACCTGAATTTGGTGTAGACGGAGAATTTGCCTGGTTGCCTTGAGCCACAACATTAGTTGCATCCACTGCTGTTTTTGCAGCATAAATATTGGCTTCTTCTTGGAACTTCCCCATGTTTTTTTTGTATCGAATTCTTTTGTTACCAAACCAGTTGGAAACCTGGAGACATGTATCGCTGTTAGCATTTGACCAAATACTCTATTTTCCACTATATTCAGGAGATGTTTTAAACGAGGCTTCAGGCAGAAAATACCTACTCCTATACCCTTCAGCGTAACCTAAATCCCATTTAAAGGACCAGTAACTGAAACCTGTTGCTAAGTATAGGGGAAAAAAACAAACACACACACATTGTTCAAGGAAAAAAAAGTCACTTAATTCCAGATAAAACATTTCATACCTGTGAAACTGTGATGCCACCTTTCTTTGCTAGCTCTTCTTTGGCCTCTTCACTGGGGTAAGGATTACTCAGATGTGAATAAAAATACTCATTCAGTACTTCCGTTGCCTGTTTGCTGAAGTTACGTCGTTTACGCCTATAAAAATATAGTTATTCCTATTTAAATGGTGCTAGAGAGTAGACCGTTGGCTTTTTTTCCCCCTCTGAAATACACTTGGTTTGAAGGAGAACACTAAGAATTAATGGAATGAAATAGCTATCGATGTCAAAGCAACCCTGGGCAAGCAAAACGGGTGGCGAATTCTTCACATTTAAACTAGATCAACGCTGGGAATGAGAGACTTGAGATTTCTCATGCAATCATTGTGTTTTCTCGTACCTGGCGTCAAGAAAGCGCGAACGCAGGATCATCACTGCCTCGCACGTGCTCTGCTTCAGCTGCATCTGGATGGTGCTGAATTTGCCGTGGATTATGTTCACCATGCGCTCGATTTCTTTTGGTGAAATTGGTCTGGTTCTACTTTGTTCCCTAAGCAGGTTCATAACGTGGGTGGTGAACTCACTGCAGGCCTGAAAACACACACATTTGTATCGACAAACGATAAAATACCCCAGAATTCGTTTCCCCAACAATATACCCAAAAAACTTTAGAGGAGTTTCCATGTTTCAGCTTTACTCTATTTACTCTTAAAAAACAGCAACACGATACACGAGACATTTATTATCTTTAGTTTGATGTCCAGTCCCTCTATCTTCACCTTACTTCTGTAACACTGAGATAAGTTTTCAACTGAATTTGATATCCTGCGTTCACCTGAATTCATTATGCTTCCTGTTCTGTTCTTAAAACCAACACCAAAGGAAAAAACGGTTATTTTTAATTGAGATGATAAAAACTCTTCCATGCAGAAAGATCACCTGTTCATATTTCTCTAGCTCAGAGTGGTATATCTGTCGGATCTGTGACAGCTTGGCCCTGTAGTCAGAGTGTTCAATGCTATTGTCATTTGGACAGCCACCTGATGTTGCTGCTACAGCCATCGGTCCTCCTCTTCCTCTTTTCTCGGGCCCGGAGACACCCTCTGCCAGCAACATGTTATCTAGTCTCATTAGTTGAGCATCTGGGGGATCTTCTTCCTGAATACCACGAATACTTAACACTAGATAAATATAAAGAGGGAATCAAAAGATTAGTTCCGAAACAGGAAAGAGCATCCACTTCAATTCTGGCAAAGCATTTAAACACCCTTCAGAGGTGTTCGCAGGTCTTGAGCTCAGGAAAAAAAAAGGGAGCATTAACGAAGCCACGAGGCAACACATCAAAACAAACAAGACATTGTTCAGATCCAAGACGACAAAAACACGAGGCGAGTTTTCAAATGCTCGCAGGTAGTAAGACTCCTCGGGCTTGTACTAATTTATACTACACTCAGAAAGTATTTTAGCAGTCTGTAGAAGTCAGGAGGAGGTTCTTCTGGAGCAGATGCCCCTGTATCAGCCTGCTGCCCAGCTCCTCGCACTGTCCTCAAGGGCGCTCGGCACTCGCTCCTGCAGACAGGCTGCGGTGGACGACTGCGTCCAGGGAGGGAAAGGAACGCCACACGAGGGCAGGGTCCCGTGGAAACCTGTGCCCAAGGCCAGAGTTTGACCTCGTCCGCTTCATATGCCAAGGAGACAACTATGCGACACAGCAGCAGGCTACAAACTGGCATCTTAACAGTGCTGAACTTTAAAATCTCTCCAAATCTATTTAAAATCTATCGAAATCTGAAACAACGTGACAATGCACCAGCAGCCGGCTTCCTTAACCCGATACTCAAACCCAGACTGCAACACTCTGTATGCTCAAATTATTCAAGTCTGATTCCAAGGAAATTTAT